GCAACTAGACAGTTGAAATTGCAAACAAAAACTAGACATCCAGATACGAAAACTGCAACCACACACCAAGAATTGAAAACAGCAACTAGACAGCAGCAAATGGAAACAGCAACTAGACAGAAGGAAATGCAAACAGCAACTAGACAGCAACGACCATGATAAGCTTATCTCATTATCTTATAAACTCGCATTCGAATGCCACATATTGCAGTTTAAATGCTATGAAAAACACTAACTAAATAACAAATAAATAACATAAATTTGTAAGATAATAGAATGTTAACAATTTAGTGTGGCATTCAATTCAATTATACTGTTTTATTGTAAAATATCAGTAACCATCATGACTTACGGTAAATGAAACTCCGATCCATACATCGCATAGACTTAATGGAATACACCCAGCTACTGACACTTGAAACATTTGTGCTGTAATAAAATCCTGTTCGGTTTGGTTCTCTATTTTCACCAGATCACCACCTGGATGTGCATTTTCACATGTGACACGTGCAGAATTCCAGTCTTGACTATCTGATCCGATCTTGTAGCATGACACTCGATCATTATTACAAAGGTACAACCAGTCTATTGGACATGTAACTGAGAAAATAACATAGACATTATTTTAACTGAGAATCTGGTGCATAAACCTTTTTCAAATATACCATATGTCCGTAGCCATGGAAACTATTATACACAATGATTTTTCCCACAGCGCCGTGTTGAAATTGACAATTAACATGTGTTTAGCATAAAAATAGACCTACCAATGCATTAGATATTTGTGAAACTGTGACCGATCGCTGGATTACAGCCTTGACACATAATAGCCATACAATAAAAACTTCGGTATTACAAGCTGCATTGTAGGGTAATATGGTTGGTATGAATAATACATTTTTGTCGTAACATTGAAATACAAATTTTAATAACTTTTGGTGATTTATAGACAATTCGCTCAGCAACATTTTTAGAGATGGTACTGAGAAATCTGGTGTCACCTGAGTTTGTTTTTTGAACTGAAGCTGACAAACAATGGAAAATCAGTCTACAATGGAACTACCTGTGCACGTTCACCAGTTAACATCAGCTCATTTGTTCAAACAAGCTGACTATAAAACAACAGTGAGAGAAGAAGGCAAACAAACAGCATCATTTTAAAGCTGTCCATAATGTTTACTTTTTTGTATTAAATTATGATAGGTCATGCAAATCAATGCCATACGGACATTGTTTCACCATTCCTGCAAATACATTTGCACAATCTTAGTTCATTGCACAAATATTGTTAGGAGCAGGGGGTAGTGTTAGGATACATACACACATCCTTATACTATGAGATCTCTCGCAAAGTTAGATGAAATGTTGAATTACTCTATTCTGTGTTTACTTGTCCACGTCATGTGACACGACAATTATTTATTTACTAAATATGGGTAATTTGCATAAATTTGAATTGTATATAAATCTCGTAAAATAATGTGTGTAAGCATGTAAACGTACCTGCTGTATTGCATGCCTGTGTAGTCGCTACCTCTGTTGTCATTGTAACCTGTTCGGTTGAGGTCAAAACTTCAGTAGTAGGTAAAAATGTTGAATGTGGCAATATAGTACTGGTTTTATCTATAAACAAAGAAAATACAATTTTAAACAGTAACAACCTATTTAATGCATTCATGCATAAGCATTGGTATTTGAAGACCTGCAGTGAACACCAAAGGAACAACTAACTAAAAAAGCACTCTTCAGAGGAGATGCCAACATGCACAATATTTCTTCAATAGTCATATAAACATTCAGAGCATAGCTTAGGCCTCATACACATATCGTATATATATACAGTTATTTTGACTCTTGACCATACAATGTAAGTATTGGGAGTTTAAAGACAATGACGATCTTTCCATGGCAGTTGCAGTGTGAACAAACATACATACACATGTATGCTGTTTGACCTTTTGTCCCTAATAAAAGCCACCTGTACGTATGTCAAGTTCCTAGCTATTCCCCTTGTAGCTCAATACTTAACATGCATAAATCAATAATCCGACCTTGACTTTTTAACATTTTGGCCAGAAAGAAATTGTGCCCAGGTAAGAGCTGCACTTGGACACGTTTGACATTCCTCTTATATAAAAACATACAAAAACTGTTACCTTTGACAACACAATTTGACAAGATCTCATAAGGAATATGTGTGCCAATTTTGAAAGCATTGGTTATGTTGTTTTCATTTGGTTTTCAGATATAACACAAAAACACATGATGTGACCTTGTAAAATGAAAATCAAGCTGAAACCCTCTGTGTCATCAAAATTCACCCCTCAGAGAGTCTAGATTTCAGAATTCTTCCAGGTAGAAGGCCCCCGAACCCCCCTAGTATGGGCGCGACTTCTGCGCGAGGGATGATGAGCAGATCTCCCCCCCCCCCCATGCACAATTCCCGTCGCCGCCTCTGCTTGACATGTGGCCGTTTGTCCCTGGAAGGTTGCTGTGCCGTACGGGTGACATAGGGAAGATTTGAAGTTTGAAGTATGTATCTTCCCTTACACTTTAAAACACGGACATAAAAACATGCATATATTAACGGTACTATTCATTGATGGAATTGGGCAACAAACACACACGGATGAATGTTAATTTATGTATTATGATATTTATACTCACCTACATAACCAGATTCACAGCACGTATTAGGAACTGGATTTGGCACTTGATTTTTTAACCAACAATTTCCATAATTAATTTTTTTCTGAAAAGTCCATGCAACACACCCAACTCTGTCAGTACATGCATCACAGCATGCTTGCGGGTTGGCTACCGGCAAGTCACTCCCAACGTTTATATCTGATCCCGGTCTGTCAGTATCTGCGTCTGATTTACATCCTGCAGTGTTATAAGTGAATATAATATCTTAAATAATATAACAAATATTATTTTCTAGCCCCATGGAATTATTATGAATTATTATACTTTACCAGCAGAAAATGCATTAATAATCAAAATAGTACAATTTACATTATTCTTATAAATTTTGTAATGTAAGAACATAAAGCTGGAAGCTTACTCCATTGAAACAGGAAGTGTGATATAAGTCAGGAACTGTGGATTGTTATTGCATGATCTGCTAGATGTAAATGGGCGATATATATATATATATATATATTGAGTTGAGACCCTCTATAGCCAACTGACAGATGTTTTTAAATATGTGCATGTTTTTTTAAAACAGTACCATATATTGTAATGCATACCTTCCATTGACAGTGTAGTTACCTCCGATGTTTGTGTAGTTTTGAGGGTTGTGGATAACGGTATTGTTGTATACAATGTTGACGTCAATTTCTCCGTAGTACTATCCCCAACATCAGTGCTAGGTTGAATATCTTAATAATGTGAAGTAATGTCATATTAGTTCAGAACGCCTTATAGGATAGGATAGGATATTTTATTTGGAACGTACACAAAACAATGCTTGAGTAAAGTCCAACGTAAGAAACATACAGCATCACAACTAATCTAAAATAATTTTAAAATCTGAAAAACAAAATTAGCTAAAATACTAGAAACATATTTGTCTACACTAGAGAAAACATTAATAAACAATTCTCCATTTGGTAAGGTTTGATAGTCAGATGAGTATCTGAACAATGTATAGAGACATTTTTCTTGTGTTCTGAAAAACTGTCACAATGAAAAAAGTAGTGTTTTTCATCACCCACATCATTAGAGTCATACTTGTTACACACCCTGTCAATTTTATTTATTCCCCTGTGACGACCTGTTTCAATTGGCAAGAAGTGGGCTGAAATACGAAATTTGGTTAATGCTACTCTGTGTTTTTTGTTTTTTATATCATCCAAGTATTTTTCAATTATTTTTGAATGTTTTATAGGTACTTAGTTTATTATGACCAGTTTTGTTCAACTGACTTTCCACATTTGTTGAGTAAATTTTGTGATATAAGTCAGGAACTGTGGATTGTTATTGCATGATCTGCTAGATGTAAATGGGCAACAGGCAGCCATTTTGTATGCCATGCATCTATATATATATATATATATATATATATATTGAGTTGAGACCCTCTGTAGCCAACTGACAGATGTTTTTAAATATGTGCATGTTTTCTTAAAACAGTACCATATATTGTTATGCATACCTTCCATTGACAGTGTAGATACCTCCGATGTTTGTGTAGTTTTGAGGGTTGTGGATAACGGTATTGTTGTATACAATGTTGACGTCAATTTCTCCGTAGTACTATCCCCAACATCAGTGCTAGGTTGAATATCTTAATAATGTGAAGTAATGTCATATTAGTTCAGAACGCCTTATAGGATAGGATAGGATAGGATAGGATAGGATAGGATAGGATAGGATATTTTATTTGGAACGTACACAAAACAATGCTTGAGTAAAGTCCAACGTAAGAAACATACAGCATCACAACTAATCTAAAATAATTTTAAAATCTGAAAAACAAAATTAGCTAAAATACTAGAAACATATTTGTCTACACTAGAGAAAACATTAATAAACAATTCTGCATTTGGTAAGGTTTGATAGTCAGATGAGTATCTGAACAATGTATAGAGAAATTTTTCCTGTGTTCTGAAAAACAGTCACAATGAAAAAAGTAGTGTTTTTCATCACCCACATCATTAGAGTCATACTTGTTACACACCCTGTCAATTTTATTTATTCCCCTGTGACGGCCTGTTTCAATTGGCAAGAAATGGGCTGAAATACGAAACTTGGTTAATGCTACTCTGTGTTTTTTGTTTTTTATATCATCCAAGTATTTTTCAATTATTTTTTAATGTTTTATAGGTACTTAGTTTATTATGACCAGTTTTGTTCAATTGACTTTCCACATTTGTTGAGTAAATTTGGTTTAACCTTTCTTTAAACAGATTGCCACAATTTGCCTGATTAGTATCCGTGTTTGTCATATTTGTAATTTGTAGAAGTTTTTGGACAAATTTATACCAAGGATCGTATTTAAACCCACTACTTTCTTTAAAAGCAGCTTCGATAATTATGTTGTTTGTTTTCTTACATGAAACCTTTGATAAAATTTTATAACAGTAGTACAAACATCAATCACAAGTGAGAAACGACCAAGTTCACCTCTGAAAGCAATATTTGATGCCTTCCTGTGTACTGTCATGAATTTGTTTTTGTGTATCTGTTGACCGACTTAATTAGCTGATTATTAGCTGAATTGCTGTGTTATGTCTGTCATCGTTTAGGCCTATTTGAAGTTTTGGACGGAACTTGGCTCAGTGATTTGGAACTAATTACCAGATAACCGTCGCGATTCTGACAGTTGGTATCCATAGTTATTACAATCGTTTTCACTAAACATTGGACAATCAGATTGTGGTAAATGTTGATACATCAGAGCAAGTACCTAATGAAATTGCCACTGATTTTATCACTACTAATCAAAACATTATAACTGTAGCCTAAACATTTTTGATACAATGTATACCTGTCTGAGTCCAAGGCGCCATTCTCTCTTTTATTGTTTGCGCAAGACATTTCGTTTTTTTAGCATGAACAGTGTGAATTCAGACCAGCATTGCTGATTTACAATGATCTTTGGACAATGGCTGAATATCTTTTCAAGCTACATTTTACTTATTACACGGAGGACAGAA